ATCCTGATTTATTTTCTGAGTTAATCAAAGCACATCTGAAAAGTATATCGGTATCTTCTGCAGTAATTAATTCTAAGTGCTGGTGAAAAGAACCTGTATGATGTCTGGAGTTAGAGTCTCCATGTGTGATTTATAGTCCCAGCTGCATTTATAAACTTAATTGCTGGATGGCAATTTCGTAGAGTGAAAAATTATACCTTCGTTTTTCTTGCAGTGTTGCTGTTTTTATGCTTATGTTAGATTTGCATTTTTCTGGAAGATGCAGATACTGTCAAACTCAGACCCTTGGTTTACAGAAGTGAGAGGCTTGTATGTGACTAAATATTTTGACTTGTGTGCTGATGGATTAAGTGGTCAGCTCCACTTTTCTGCCCGAGGCTTTTGCCTCCTTGAGCAGAAGTGACTGGGTGGCGTGTATTGTCACTCAGGGGTAGTCACTGCTTTCAGTCTGGCATGCTAACTTAAACTGACTGCCTGGGATGGATGTGACCTATTGTTTGTGGAAGTGCTGCTTACAATTTCAGGAAAAGGTAGTGACTGGCAGCAGAAAGGCTAAATCCATCTTTAGCATGAAGTTACAGTGAGCACCATACAACCATAAAGCAAAGTTCAGATCCTTGAATGTGTGATACAGCAACAGCTTCACAAAACTGCAGGGGGAAGCAGATGACTAACCACAGATGGCTTACAAACAGAATTGGTATTTGAAGCTCAGAAGTGTGTTCCTTATCTGTTCAAATTGCTTGCTTTTGTGCACCCTTCGAATCCTGGTGATTTTAAATGACTGTTACTGGGTGACCTTACAGAAGGGTATATGAGATGCAGATGTGCTCTGTCACACTGTATAAATAGCCGTGCAGCGAAGGAAGTATATTTGCTGCTCTTCACAAAACTGGAGCCAAGAACAGTTCCCCTGCAAAGTTAAATCAATTGATCAAATAAAATGCATAGGAACAGCCAAAGGAAACGTGTTTGGAAGCATTACAAAAGGAAGGTATTCAGTCCATCTCTCACAGCTATATTTAGGTTCCAATACTTCTATTATATTGGTTCCTTCCAAAATAAACAGCAAAAAAATGTGTAGGTTGCTGCCTTCTCTAGTACTAGAATAAAACTTTAATGATTTTATTTTTAACTGCAAGCTTCTTGGCGGAGTAGCTGAGGTCCAAGGACTGTATCTGATGGTTTTTCTTTTGAATTGTTGTACTTCATTGTCAGAAGGCCAAGCTGTCTTGTCTTGTTACTTCACATCAGGCCTTCATTCTCAGCACCTCTTACGTGCCAGGCAAGTGTTAAGATCTTAATTTCTTCAAATGTGGACAATTCTAATTCAGTATCCAAATCTGGAAGCTTTTCTAATCAGATCCTTTAAGACTAATATTTCTAGTTAATTGTAGTTATTTCCCCCAGTTGTGTTGTTGTTGTTTTTTTGTTTTGTTTTGTTTTGTTTTTTCTTCTGTGTATATAAAAAACTGATGCTTGCTGCTTGGAATTTGTGATCATCTTATTAAGAAATCTTGCAAGAAAACAAATGGCAGATTTTCATCTATTTTGACTAGCAGGAGATCATAAGAGAATGTAAGTTGGGAAGTTGTGACTTTGCCCTACCCTCTCATGTGAGCAGCCTTAGGGTGCATGGTGGGTCAGGATATTTCCTCTCTAGGCAAAGCATTCCAGGAGTTTGGGCTGACCTACTTCCTTCGCTGAGGAGGGGTATCCTGCCCTGTAGCAACCTCAGTCTTGCTCTGAAAACTGAGTGGGTGGGGACACTGAAATGACATAGTGCAAAATTTGTCCCAAGGACAAGTCACTTGCAATTTTTGATCTCTGGTCTGATGTGATCGCCGTTAACTGATGACCAGTCCATTGAAGCTGGAAATTCAGCTTGCTGAGTGAAGAGCTTTTGTCTTCTAATAGTGCTTCTTTAAACCTAAGTTTGTGCAGAAGATTCTAACAGTATCGGAGCAGTGCATGGTACAGCAGGCCTTTCAGATTAAGTTGGTGTTAATCCAGAAGAGTCGTCTTTCTGCTGCTTTGGTATTAGGACTTTCTATTGCAGAAATGCATGTATGTGCAGGAACAAATTGTGTTTATTTCACAAATAGAGAATATCATTTATCCGTAGAATATCCGTAGCAGACGTTAGTGCATTTAGGATGGGATGTACTGACATGTATGCATTAGCATTTTGTGAGAAAGCCAGAGGGATTTAATTGTAGGGGATGATAATCTGCTATCATGCATCACCAACGGGTCACACTTTGAATGCAAATACAGAACGATGCACGAGGTACCCCTGGGTCTTGCCTTTCTGAAAAGTGCAGTTAAGTGACAGCCTGAAACCTGTGAACATGGGGATATGAAAACATTGGTGAAGCTGTAACAGAAATCCTGGTTTTGAACCAGAATTGCGTTGCCTTTATAGCTGCTTTCCAGGGAGCTGAGTAAGCTACAGGCCATATAAGGTATTCTTACCAATGCTTTTGAAACATGCTTACACAACACTTTTTCTGGTCAAATAGTCTGAAGTCACTGCAAGTCTCTCACTGACACTCGTGTCTGGAACAGCGGGGTGAATAATAGTCTTCCTCATTCCTTCAAGATTGTGAGTGACCAAGAGGACATGTCCAAGAACAGGCTTTCGGAGGAGGAGAGCTGTGTGAACGATCGCATCGCAGTGTGGCAGCCCTTAGCTCCTCAGCTGCTCAGAACTTTTGTCTGACCATGTTTCCCCAGCAAATGTGGGTTGTACAGACACCTCAGTCCTCTTTGCTGTTGAAACCAGCTCGCAGTCCTCTTTGCTAAGTAACAAGGGAGCCCATAGTTCAAAAATTTAGTGATATAAATTTTTTCCTTTTCTTTTTTCAAAGATTATAAAGGTTATTCTCTTGAAGTTTTCTCGCTTTGAGTAAATTTTTATATTAGTTTTTGATACTTGACTGGGATAAGCATATACTCTTTTGTAATACTTTTAATAAAATGCTAATGCGAGTAAAGATTTTCATCTGATATTCCTTCTATTTTAGGGTTTCTGCATCAGGAATACCGCAACCATTTTATGGGGGGAGAATTTTTTGTTACATTGCACACAAGTCTGTCTTTTGCAACATTGAATCAGTTAAGAGCACTTAAAGGCCAGTTCTAAATAGGTCATGAGCAATGAAGTCAACAGGGCTTGTGTTTCAAGCATTTCATATCTTGGATAAGGTTTATTCATGTAGATCTTTTATCTTTCCCAGTAAGATCATCTTTTCTAAACCTAAGCCAATTCTGTGCTGAAATTTGGCTACTTGTTCTTGGAGGTCTCTTTCAACCTTGGTGATTTGATGATACTTCTTGGTTCACTACTGTGCAAATGACATCTATAAGGTGATTTTAAAATGTATTATTATGGAGCAGCAGTGATGAGTGCTTCCAAAGTCAGGGTGCAGCTTTCAAATGTAGCTATGTGTTCCTTGGGCTGAATTGTAGAATCCCACATGTACACAAAGAATGCATGCTTTTAATGCTGTTTGTGCCTTAATCTCTCAAATTTGTTCCTACGCTCATATTTAAAAGGCACTCACTGGCTCGTTTACCTTGGTGCTAATCACACTGCAGAAGGACTTGTGTAGGTTTGGCAGAGAACCCTGAAGGAAAGCTGATTTCTAAATAGTGATATACGTCTCATCTGCTTTTTTTTTTTTTTTTTTCCCAATGTAAAGATCAATCAGTCTGAGACATTGTTTTTAATAGGCAATAGGAAAAATGTTACTGGTGTAATTGTGTACCCATGGGCTCAGGTGAGACTTTGCTGGGTGGTTTTGTGTGCGACTGCTGAGTGGCATTTCCCTCAGAGCGCTGTGATCTGTTTTACTGACATGGTAACAGTGGTTGGTGAATGGTCATCCAAAAGCAATAAGGGTGAGAGGAGAGAACCTCTGATTTTGCATTGTTTGTCAGTTACTTGGCATAGCTGTGAGATGGTGCAGCGCTCCACAGAGTACTATATTTAGCTGTTTCCAAGGAGATGTTCTGTGCGATATTGATAATTGCATTAATCCTTGATTTACACAATCTGTGGGAAACTGTTCCTTTCCTAGCGTTGGCTTTTTAATTGCTCGGTGATCTGTAATTTCTGAACGCCTTGATTTGAGTCCCTTGTGCCTGCATGTTAGGGGCAAATCGGGGACCAAATTGTCTTTGTTCTTTTTTTACTATGGAAGTGATTCACAAATGTGAGCATTGCACTTGTTAGCATTGTCTTTCTTACAAGCCTTTTGTCTTTACTTCTGTGAGGTATGCCTGCGTGTGGAAGCCTGCCTTTATAAATACATTTCAGAGATGGCTTGATGACATCCTGTGTTTTCAGTGTCAGAGGCTAAGAACATTCATGTCAACTCTGCCTGTGCCAAGAGTACTGTTAAGATATTCATGGATGAGAATGCAACTCAGCTCAGCGTGTGCAATTTTCACTGTATAACAGAACAATCTTCCTGTCTCAGGGTCTGATGGTTTATTCCCTCTGCATAAGAAATCTTTCAGAGAGGTATTATGCACAGACCTGTTTCTAATTCAGTGAGCTGAAAATGCTTTGCATGTTTCTGAAAGTAACTATGGATTTCTGAGGTGGAATTATTTCAAACAAAACTTTTGAGACTTGACTATATAGAATGCATTTTAGATGTAGAGCTACACCAGTTGAATTGGTAAGGAATTAAGAAGCAAGCAAACAGCTAAGAGACTAACATGCTAGTTTAAACCGTATAATTCATTATGAGTGATCTTGGTGCATAATGTTCACAAACTGGGGCTTTCTGACTGCCTTGTTGATGTACTGCAGTGTTTTATGGATTATGAAGTCTATCATCTCACAGTAGATGTAAGCAAGGGATCTTGGCACTAGCTAAAATTCTTCAGATTGTGTTTTATTTTGATTTTCATTCATAGTTTATTTGGAAATACAGCTGACCTACTTGTGCATTTCAGTTAAATACTTTGAGACGTCTCTTCTTTTGTAGAAAAGAAGAAAGGAAAGCACAACGCTAAAGGAGAAAGGAAATGAACAGTTCAAGAAAGGAGGTGCGTTGATAATCTTTGAATATTGTATGGAAATTGGTGAATGTTAGATTAATATTTAGCCATCATAGTGATATTGCAGGAAACTCGTAGGAAAATCTTGCATTTATTATTTTTCAGCTTTATCATCTTTATCTTTTCTTCACCCGGCCCTAGAGAACAGAAAGAGATAGCAGACTTCCTCGAGAGTTAAGTTCAAATCACAAAGACTTGGATCTCTAGAGCAGGATTGTCATGAATGTTGAGTTTAAATCCAAGAACACGATACAAAACTGACTGCCTTCTGAGTGCCAAGGCTTTTTCTGAGAATCAAAAAAGGCTTCCACCAGTCCTGAGTATTGCTAATGCAATTGCTTAGAATTGATGATGGCTCAGCGGCTCAGTAATTCTCTCATAGCTTTGTATGTTTGTATGTGTCTTTTTATCCACTGGCTCAGTCCTTCACGTATGTGCTGTAATTGTGTAGGCATTTTTATACTTATTTATACATTGTTTGTATGTGTCTTTTTATCCACTGGCTCAGTCCTTCACGTATGTGCTGTAATTGTGTAGGCATTTTTATACTTATTTATACATACATTGTGTACACTGATGTGCATCTCTCTATGTATGAATATACACACTTCTGTTTTTGTGTATGCACAGAGATATGCACTTTTATATAGCTGTACACAACCATGCATGCACATAGAGACCTCTACAGTGAAAAAGATCTAGGTGTGTGTAAATTTCTGACTTACACTGAAACTGGATGTTTGTGAACGTAGTTAATCTGTAGCAGCAGAGTTGCGGTGAGCAGTAAGTAATACCACCAGCAATATTTGGTAAAATGTATGAAGGGAAAAATGATTTTCATAGAATCATAGAATCCCCAAGGTTGGAAAAGACCTAAAAGATCACCCAGTCCAACCGTTAAACCATTTTTGACACCCACCTTTCATTCTGAAGGTTAGAGGTTTCACAAAGAAACCAGGAAATGGAGATTAATGGTTCTCTCAGTCAGCGGGGACACAAACAGGTAACCTCCATTTCCCAGGGTATACTCCTATAATCAGATAGTAGTCTTCCTGTTGGAGGTCTTTTATTGTGTGTTGAGAAAGCAAGATTGCTGGGTAATGGTTTACCAATTCAGGCAAGTGCCAGAGCAGGCAGAAGGGGGCTGGTGGAACCATGGAAGTAGCAAGCCTGTAATATTGGCTCAGCTTTCTTGTGAGATCTTATCCATAGCTGTCTCTTGACAGATTCTTTGTTGGATCTGTTCAGTGTGCTTGTGCTGCTGATGGCTGTCAAATTGCTTACTGACCAGAAATAAACTTTTAAGCACCTAGTTGATCACTGGTTAATGTGGACAGAAATGATTGCTCTGCTTCGAGGAGAATGCATTTATCAGCTAGTAGGCTGTTGCTCACAGTCAATACAAGACCTTTCCATTACTTCTTTCTACCATTATTGGAAAGAAATAAAATGTGCTTAATTACTGGTCTTTCCTTTAGACCAGATTTGATGATGGATGACCATTGGGTGTCAGTGGTTTATGGTGACAGACCTGTAAGTCAGTCATTGAGGAAGTAGGGGCAGTTATCTCCCAAGCAGCTGAGAGCAGTTACTGGCAGAACACCATGTCCAGCAGGTGTTCCTTTCAGGGCAAGGATACATTTCTGGAAAGATTCAACCGCTGAGGCTGATGGTACCCTCTCAACAAATAGGATAAAACAGCTTCAGGGATGAGGCCTGCATGCACAGCATGCTGTACTCATTATACTAAGCACAAGTCTATTTTTCTGCTCCCATGAGGCTGCTGATTTTAAATTAATTGATTGTCGTTTATGTGGATGGTAGTCAGTCATGTACTTTGTCATAGAGCAGCTACTGCTTCTGACCACTGGTTTAATATTGCATCATATATTGAGAAATGTTTCCAAAGAAATCATAGTCATGTAATTCGTTGACCACACTGGCATTTGAAATAAATGATCTGTTGCTTTCTTGTTATTTTTTTTCCCCTCTTGCATCTACAGAGTACAGAGAGGCAGAAGACTCTTACACAAAGGCTCTGCAAATTTGTCCAGCCTGCTTCCAAAAAGATAGGGCTGTTTTGTTTTCAAACAGAGCTGCTGCAAAAATGAAACAGGTGAATATCTTTTTTATTTTATGAAATGATTAGTATTGATTGTATGCCACGTGAAATTATGATGTCACTAAGGATCTGTAACAAGGGAAAGGAATTGCTGCATTTGCAGGTTTTGCTGCTTGTGTATTCTCTCAAGCTCCCAGTAGGAATGCTAGCATGTTTGGTTTTACTGAGGGTTAATTCAAAACTGAAAGTTGCAGTTGGAACTGTTCAGAGTTTCTCTTGACATTATATTTTAAACACTGATTGGTTTTTATTCTCCTTTAAACAAATTCGAAGTTCATGTGGAACAGATGTCTTTAAGCATGCTTAGCATATACAGACCATGTGTTAGATTGTTCAGAAGCGTGGCTAGTTCGTATTTTTTCTAAAAACCTGAGTAGTCTTGTAAAATAATTTGTTCAGATGCTTTAAGGCATAAGCAGAACTTCTCACTACTAATTCAGTGTGTGTGCTTCCTTCGTAGTTGCTGTATTATAGCATAGATCTACGTAGCAGGGCAGTATCTGAAGAGAATGGCTGCAGCTTTCTTCATGTCTTTTCTATTCCTTACCCAGGGACAGGTGCCCACTTGTTCCCGGAATCTGTATTCACTGTAGGTAGAATAGAAGCCCTAGGACCCATTCTGTCTGAACAGAAACTAAACAATTTACTTTGTAAGCTGATAATTGATTTTAAAGAATAACAGTTAGAGGTTCTTCATGTAAGTGAAGATTTCATCTTTATAAACAAGCTGTTGGACTGCCGTACAACTGGAAGAATGGGAGGAGAACCATTATGCCAGTTTGAGTTAATACAGTCTGTGGACATGCTACTGCATGGGACTGCAAAGGGAGCTAGAAGGACCTATCAGCAAGTATTTGGTAACACTTTTCTGGCTCACAGGACTGTTCAGCGTCTAAATTTAGTTGTCTGAGATATTTGTATGGCTTTTCTATAATGGTTATTATTGTACTTAAAGAAGTAGGTCTCTTCAGGCTATAAACATGCTAAATTACCTCTTCTTTCTAAATAAGTGGAAGTGAAAATTCAAGAGAAATTACTCCCTACTTTTGTTTTAAGATTGAATGGTTCTGGAAAAGTAGAATAGTAACTCCTGTGATCTTTTTGTCCTCTTGTAAAGTTAACTGTCTTGCAGCTCTCTTTAATTTTGAGGCAGATGGAGCTCTGTTTGGGAATGTACCTTGCAGCCATATTTAAGTATAAATAAATCATTGCTCAGACAGAATTATCTAACTTGCTTTTGGGATACTAAATTATTTGGCCAGACAAGTTAAAAATGGAATTCAGTAGTAGCAGGTGCTGGAATCTTTCAAATACAAAAGCTGTAAACTGAAAAACATCCTCATAATCCAGGTGTTAACTAGGAAACTAATCTAATAATTGCCAAACAATCACAAGATGATGAAAGAACTATCCACAGACTAAAAACCTCACCTGTCCAGATGAGTGGAACCTCCCACACCAATACTTTACTCTGAAAATAGCAATGAGCAGCCTTGTTTTCTTGAAGGCCTTTTAGTTTAGATGAAAATAGGTTCTTTGTCTCAGTCTTCTTCCTTTTTTTCTTTTTCTCCATTATAAGCAGATTGATTGCTTGACTCTCCTAACTTGGTTGTCTGGGCACACTAAAATCTTGTCCCTACTGCTTCTGGCAGACTTGAGCATTTTCCCTGGTAGAGGAAGTTATATGAGTCCTAAAGGAATATCTGCTTTCCAAATGTCTCAGCTTGTACAGACAAGAATTTATCTGGGAGTCTGGGAACAGTCAGTTCCAACCTCTTACTTAATTGACATACGTACAAAAGCTGTAGCTCAGTTAAGCTAAGGCCTGCAGATGTGACTCAGCCTTTTGACTGTAGCTTGCTGCTGGCTGCTCTGTGCAGGCTGATTAGTGGGGCAGCGTGCAATTGGAAGGCTGGCAGTCTTTGCAGAGAGAAAGCTAATCACTGGTAAAGAGCTTTAAATCAGAAGCAATGGTATGAAAAGCCTTGATTACATGAGCATCCCAGTTCCTTGGAATTCCAGACAACCCTTCTTGCTTGCAATTGTAAGTAATCTGTTTCCCAAGAAATACAGTTTAACTATAACAAAACTATTCTGTGTTCTAGGACAAGACAGAAGCTGCCCTAAATGACTGCAGCAAAGGTATGACTTTCTTTCCTGTGTTTTGCTCTTGTGCTAGATTTTTGATGAGTAAATGACACCAATTAGTGCTTTACAACAGTGCTATGACTTTGGGCACAGCAGTCTTGAAATAATTTAGAGAAAAACTGTAGTGGAAAGCATCTCAATCTAGAATTACTTATTTTGTGAAATGTGAATGAAACTTACTATCTGTAATAATTTACTTTATATTCTTTTGTGCCAACAAGACTGTTGTTTGTACTTTTTTTTTTTAATTATTATTAAGAAAGCATTTTTTATTGTGGAAGCTGTTATACTTACTTTTATAAACCCACTTCCACCTGCCGTTCCCCTCAAACCTTGGTTTAATCCCAGGCTCCAAAGAGCTGTGGGGGCCTCATACAATTAAAAGCATTATCAGTTCCCTTTTATGCATGGCTTTTGCTTTGTCACAAGGGCTTATGCTTTCCCATTTTTGTCCTGCATAGTTTTATCTCTGCAACTTCTAGTGCAATCGTTTCAGCTGTGTGTTGCTTTATTGCTTCCACCCACTCACCCATGCTCGAATATTTGTTAAACTCCCCATGATAGCTGGGGAAGAATGTCCGAATTACCAGTCAGAAAACTAATCCAGTGGCTGAGTGCCAGTACTGCTTGTACAGTAAATAGGAGTTTGCATGTTTTAAAAGTAACCTTGAAGGTAACAAATTCTAGCTGACCTCTCTTACTCTGGGGTTTTGCGTTTTGGCAGCGGTGCATTTTCAAAAACATTTCTGATAATTTTGTGGTGGCTTATAGAGGACTGGTATGTTTTGCTGCAGTGAGACTTAAACCATCGCCTGATGCTCCCCAGGGACTTGGCTTACAAGCTGCAATGCAACACCTACAGCACAGCAGAGCAATTCACTGCAACATGCTGACTGTAGTATTGTCTTTGTCCTTCCAGAAGGAATAAGCTATAGAATACTTGCCTAATCTGAGTAATAATTTTAATGGGTTAGCAATTAAAAATTCAGGCAAGATTTTGTACTTGCTTTTACTGTGATGAAAAATGGGTGAATAAATTCTTGAGACATCAACAGCAGCCTGTGAATTGTAAGTTTAGGATTTAGTCCTAACTTTTAGTCCTAAAAATAACTATTGATATTAAAAAAATTAGTACACACTTAAGAATTATTTGTAGGAGCTGTAGAAATGTTTCAAGTAAAATGCTGTGCTTCGTTTTTGTTTTCCAGCAGTGGAATTAGATCCTAACTATATTAGAGCTTTGCTGAGAAGAGCAGAACTATATGAAAAAACAGAAAAACTAGATGAAGCTCTGGAAGATTATAAAGCAATCCTAGAAAAAGACCCATCAGTTCATCAAGCCAGAGAAGCTTGTATGGTAAGCCTTTTCAGTATACTTTGGCTCAACTTCAAAATGAAGACTTTCCTTTCCTAGTCTAAATATTCAGTACTCTCAATGCAAGCTGCTTCATGTAGCAATAACTTTGAGTCTGAAATGTAGTGTTCTCTTCCAGTTTTACATAGGATAGAAGACATGAAATGCTACAACTTCCATTACGGACCTGAGTCCTGCTAAGCATAGGTGTTTTTTTTTAACGTTTGTAAAATGATTGAAGGTAGATGTGTGTTTTGAGCTGCAAGCTGTATTTGTGCCTGTTGGATAGCATACCCCACGCCCTACACAATGCACACACAAAAATCACAGAGTTGTGGGAGTTGGAAGGGATCTAGAGATGACTGAATCCAATCCTGCTAAAGCAAGTTCCCTGTAGCAGGTCACGCAGGAATGCCTCCAGGTGGGTCTTGAATATCTCCAGAGAAGGAGACTCTACAACCTCTCTGGACAGCTTGTTCCACTGCTCCATCACTGACAGTGAAGAAGTTCTTCCTTACACAGTTTGTCACAGAATATATTACAGTTCTCACTTTTCTTCTAGTTTGATTCTCCCTGAGGGATATCTTGTAACTGAATGCAGTAACGTTTCAAAAATACTCGTCTAAGTAACATACAATACACTTACTACAAACTTTGAATTCCTGACTGAGGTTGTTAACTGTATTTATACATGTGCTAGGAAAGGTTGGCTAGGCCACAAACAGGACAGCACTGACTGCTGTGGTGAATCACTGCAGCATTTTAGTAGCCAGCACTTCAATATGGATCAGCAATTTGGAAATCATAGAATCGTTTGAATTGGAAGGAACCACTAAAGGCCATCTGGTGTAACTCTCCTGCAATGAACACGGACACCACAGCTCCATCAGGGCTCAGAGCCCCTCCAGCCTGACCTTGAGTGTCTGCAGGGATGGGGCACCCACCACTTCTGGGCAGCCTGTGCAGTGCTTCTCTGCTCTTGTTCTAAAAACAAACAAACAAAAAACCCCAAAAAACAAAACCTTAATTGTATTCTGACTTTAAGAATAAAAGTCGGAATACAAATACTCAATAATAAAGTTTTTGCTTGTTAATAAATTAGTGGGAATCTATTTTTATTTCAGTATAATTATTCTGGTAACTGATGAGTTTGCAGTTAAATGTTTTCTTGGTATAGAAATAGATACTTTTTTGATTTTGATATTATTTAAGTGAACAGCAGATAGAGGCTGTTTGAGTTATCTGCAAGTCTACTTAAACATAAGTCTACTTAAACTCTGGTATTTGGCTTCTTGATTTTGCTGTGTTCTGGTTTTGGTGTTTGTTGCAGGTTTTTAACGTATACCTTGTGTGTGTATTGGCTATTTTGAGATATTTTACTAATAATGACTTAAGTCTGCTATTAATTTTTAAAAACTTAACCTTTCACATAAAAAAAGGCACCTGGTATTTGCGTCACTCTTTTCTAATTAAATTATTTTTCTTGTTCCCAAATAACGTGAGTTCTTCAGCTTAGCACTGTGTTCCCTTGTCTGCTGTCACTGAACATTATAAATACTTAAGGGTTAATGGTTTCTTGAGGAAATTTTGTCATATCACTCAAATAATAATAATTAAAAAAAGTTCTTTAAGGTTTGCTTGGACTTCAGGATGTGGCAGCTTTGTTGAACAAAGGAAAACTCCTAACACTTCACGAAGCCCAGTCTATCACATAAATAACCTCTACTCAGTGAGGATATAAAGTCATTGCTACAGCCAGTTCATTTGAGTTCCTAACTGTCAAATACAAGCAGAAAGTGTTTTTTCTAGTGAATGTTCAATATGTTAATGCTTAGCATGGAAACCTGCTGTCAGTTGGACAATTTCAAAGGGTCTTTTCACAAAAGTTGGTGTAGCACGAAGGGCTGTTTTTGTGCAGAAAGCTCCTCCTATAGGCTGCTTGCCCTTCCTATTTCTGAAAGAGGTTATGAAGGCTGTTGAAAGGAAAAATGTGGTAGATAGACAGTCTGTGGCTTTGAAAGAATGCATGCAAATGAAGGGTAGCTGCTATCAAATAGAAAGTGACCACCAGTTATGTCAGAGCTGGAGCTTCATGCCATGGTGTGTGAATGGCTTGTGAGCACCAGAGTGCCTGGAAAGAGCTGACTACCTTCCATAGGGAAAGCAACAACTTAATTCCATTTTACGATAAATGGATTTTTAAATATAATGCTTGGTTGGGCACTTGAATCTATATGACATACTTGTCTTTTAATAGCTTGTTAAATTTTCAAAGGGCATCCGTTTTCTGTGTTCAGCTTCATATCAGTGAAACTGCAACCTACTCTGCCCCATAAAGGAAAAAAGTTTACTCCAGAAATTTTGTGTAAAAGCCACTATCTATACGTTGCTGCAGAAATATGTTTTCAAGGTTTGGGTTTAATTATTTTAATTCCCTGTTTGTGAAAATAAGGTATTAGTAGTGATTTTTTTTTAAAAATTCCCCTCCCCCATACCATGGTGTTGTAATGACACATTAGGAAGTGCTTTAATAGCATATTAGACAAGAAGCCTTGCCTGAAATTACTTCCTTTGGGACTAGATCAATTGCACTGATGGCAGAAAAGTACTCTGCTTAACTGTGTAACTCCCATTAGTGGTAAGGGTAAGATTTCACAAAGCAGCTGAAGTGTTGAACTGCCTGCTGCTTAGAAAGCTGTCCAGTTGCTTTCCTCATGCTTATGCTGGTACACTGACCCTGTGGAGATGGCTGGTGATATATATATGTATATGTACATGGGGCTCTGGCAGGCAACTAACCTGGCCAGAAGGAAAAGCATCTATAAGTGAGAAAAAAAAAAAAAAAAAAAGCCAGCAACCAAAAAGCCCTGAAGGATCAGCTTTATACTGCTTTGGCTTTCTGCATTCAGAGGAGTCCCACTGCAGTTACTGGTGAGAAGGAAAGATGTGGTCAAGGCAGTGCAGGAACTGGGCCGGTCATTTCTGGCAGCACCCAGTGACAAGGTCAGTTTACTGTACTGTGAAACAACCCCCTGATGCTTGTTGCATGCAGCTGAGAGCAGGAGAGCGTTTTATCACCTAGCTCTTGGCAATGGCTTAATAAATGACGGGCTTGTCAAACATCGTTACTGCAGGGGCAGTGAACGTGATGCATCCATCATAGTTGAGAAAAGAGTATTTGTGTTGGCCATGTTTATAGTCTCCTAGCTGAGACTATGGCTTATTTGATCCAGGAGTTCAGCCAAGGAATCTGCTGACGTTTCTAAAGGAAACGATGGGATTTAGTTTTGTAGCTTGTAGTCTTTTAGCATTAGCCTCGATCCAAGAAAGGCCTAATGTAATCTAGTTGGTTACTTGGTAAAACAGTGCAAGCGTGTTTTAGCAGCTCTTCATACAAAGAGCAGCTATGCAGATCTGACAGATTGTTACGAAGCACCAGTAAGGATTCCATAGATGAAGATGTGAGAGCAGTCAGTCATTGGTACAAAATACAAGGAGTTTGAAACACACAGCTGATCTGAACCCCCTAAAAGTTTAGATGCAATCCTTTCTGTCTCTTTCAAAACCACAATTTTCTTTCAGTATCTGGTGGAGATTTGTTCCAGGAAAGAATCAGAAACAGTGCTGCTGTTCTTCCTGGTCATCTTTCAGAAGCGTTTTAGAATGACTGGTCATTTACTTATAATTTTTGTAGCTGGAAAGCACAGAGTTTGACTGTTTTGTGTACATTCTGCTCCTCGACCTCATTTTAGTAGGCAGACTTCTGGTCGCATGTGGTGCAGGATACGTTGTATGAAATGCCCTCAGTTTGTACTAGAGTGGTTTACAGCATTTTGCTTTTCAGTTGGTCAAGCTTCAGAATAAAAGCAATATTTTGAGATTGAGGCTTTAAAGCCCTTCCCTCCCTACCCCTTACCCTCCCCCCCCCCCCCCCCATGAAAATTTGTTAATGAAATACTGACATGGCTAATTTTATGCTTTTTAAAATAGTTGTAATAGATCTCTAAATTTTATAATAAAAAACGTTGTTCCAGATATAATGCTGTCTCCACCTATGTAATTAGCAGATCTGTAATATGTAGGGACTAAGAGGTTCTGCTTTATTGTGATGTAAAGTGCCCTGCTCTTTGCAGAACTAGTTCAGCACTTCTGTGCCTCCGCTGGTAGTGAAAATGATGCATCAAGAGAATCTGCAAATTAGCTTTGTTCACCTGTTAGAGCCAATCTTTCTCCTTCCTACGTATAAGAAATACTTCACATACTGCTGTGGGGAATATAATAATCTTGTTAAATGGGGGTTTAAAAGAAGTTAAATGCACAGTAATTCTTTGCTTAGGTTCCTGGTTTGTTAGCTGCTGTAAAATTTCAGTATGGCTTATATGTCAGAAGTACAGCACTCATGGTTTAAAGCCCACTGTTGCACACTCTGGTTGCCTTTGATATCATTTATGCCAAATGAAACAGTTTGAAATTACAGTGTTTTGTGGTCAAATAATCCCTATTGATGCTTTCCCAGGGAGTGTTTATGTGGTATCAATCGTTAGGTTTTGTTTTTAGAAGGTGTATAACAATGTTGTGTGAATTTGAGCTTCAGTGCAGTTTCTGAGGGAGCGGCAGACCAGATAAACTTAGTTACCAAAAGAAGCTGTACTTTGAGATAAGTGTCACAGACCAAGATGAATAGCCAGGTTTATGGATACCGTTCTATAGATAAGTAACCTTAGATGTACTTCTCTGGAGTGAGAAATGGTGAGTCTTTGGAATAGTACTATTCAGGCAGACAAAACACAGAACACGTATTTCTGATCAAGTATTTAGGTCTTCATTTCATGCTGAACGCTAATGTCCACATGAGAGATAGATTCTGTGTAAGCCAAACTCATCCAAGATAGAGCAGATGTGTTGTGGTTTAACATGGCAGGTAGTTGAGCGCCACAAAGTCATTCACCCACTCCCCCAATTCCCAGTGGGATGGGGGAGAGAACAGCAAAAAAAATAACAAAGTAGAACTCGTGGGTTGAGATAAAACTACTTAGTAAGATAGGAAAAAGGGAGAGAGAATGTCACAGCCACAATGCAAACTGAATTTACAGCCTGGGGATATCCACGCATTTTCATGTGGGCAGCGTGGGTCCAGACCCAAGTTAATAAGGCCCTCTGGGTCAGCAGGAGTTGGATGGTGTCTGACTGCACTAATTGGATCTGATCCACTGGTGGTGATATTGGGCCTAAGCTCATTTCAGGCTTAGCCACCTCTGTGTATGTGCATTGTACTCTTTCATATTGACTTTTCAGTTTGTATGGGGTATAACACCTCTCTTCCCCATCAGTGTTGAAAGTGCCTGTGTTCACCAATCAATACTGTTTTGAACAGGAGGAATAGCCAGGCAGATATTTTTTTTTCCTTGACATGAATATCTTATTTCACTGTAACAATGTTATCAGAGTGACAAACCCATCCATGATGATTGGAGCTATAAAATACAGGAAGGAACTAAATTAGGAAATTGAATTCTTTAACTATGTTCAGAAGCCAATTATCACAAGGGAAGTACATAAGGAGTGAATTCCACACTTGTTACCATAGTTTACAACTGTAATTAACTTACTGATAGCACCATTTCAGCAGATCTGTCTTATTTGCCATGACTATATAATTGGATCCTGAGCTGCCAGAGTTGTATAGTAATAAGCGTAGTAAGTTTGAAATAGTAAGTTCTGAAAATATGAAGAAGATGCAGTGTGAATGACAGTTGCTTCTTATATATATATTTTTAATATACAAAGGCTGCTCAAAAGTGATGTTTCCTATTTTATTATGTTGCCCTGTGGTGTCAGAGGTGGATGTTGGTGGTATGGAAGCAAATGTTGAACCTTGTCACCGATATTCCATTCCATTTTGTTGCCATGTGATAAATGGCAGCAGAGGGGCATTCTGACACAATGGCATCTGACATGGAAGTGTGTATGAAGCACAGTGTGAAATGGATTTCTCCACGGGGAGAAAATGGTACACTGAGTGACATTCATTGACAACTTGGTGAATGTTGATAGAGGCCAAACAGCGAATGTGAGCACAGTGAGGTGATGGGTGGTGCATTTCAACAGTGGGTCACCTCTTCTGGCACAGACTTTTTATGAGCACAGCATGCAGGTTCTTCTTCGTTACTGATGGTGACTATATGAAAAATAATGTTTTGTAGCTGAGAATTTGCTCTCTCAAATAGTGTTACTGTGCTCTTTGGATCTGTTGTAGTTTCTATGGAAATAAATGGGAGGCATTACTTTCAAAGTGATCTAAGCTGTTTTCGACTGATGCAATAGTAAATGTAGTGAATATGAAACTATAGCTTAAAATGGTCTTTACAGTCAGTTAGCAAAACAGCACTGCTGTTTGAGATGGAAAACGAGCCAAGCTGTTTTAAGTGTAAATGGGAATCTCGGATCACTGGGAATACGTAGACTATGCTGTTATGTAATGCTTATTAGAATGTGATAAGGTTTTCACCTGTGATGGTGCACAGATTTTAACACTAGTGCCATTTCTGAGGAGGAAAAAAACCAGACTGTTCCTTGGACTGACGCCTTGCTCAGGATGAACTTGTTGGAAGTTCTCTCCATGATGAATCATTGAATTGGGGTCCTCATTAGAAATATGGCAACATTGAATAATGAGGTGTTGCTCATTAAACTGTATCTTGAAGTTCATATACAGCAATTCAGTGATCTTCTGATAAAATACTTTTGTCTAGAAGATCTTCACATTTTCAGCATGCATTTCCCTGAAGCTGTCTGCCAATTCAAACTGACTTTCCAGATGCTTTTCCCCACTAGACCTGTACTCATGTTCAGAAGTAAATACAGTGCTTCCTTAATTTGTCTAGTCTCTCCTAGCCATATTTAATGTCTGTGGTAGAGAAGATAGGACAAAAATGTACTTTAATTCTAAGTCTCTTAAATTCCCTGAACTCTTCAGTTGAAATACTAGGCAAGCAGATCAGATTCCTTGTTCAGCCATAAAAATGTGTGCCTGTGTGAAACCTGCACTTACAAGTTACAACTTGCTGTGTTTCTATGAATTGATGTCATAGGATGAATTACAAGTTTCCACAGTGGGATAAAAGTGTTGGTTTGACATGAGGATTTTTTTAAAGCCATAAACAATGTATCTTGGGTATGTACATGAAAGTCACATACGCTTAACCTACAGTATTACTGAAAGCATGGATCTGATTCCAATTCTGCCTTCTTTTCTGCAGCGATTACCTAGACAAATTGAAGAGCGGAATGAAAAATTAAAGAAAGAAATGTTAGGTAAGTAGTATGCTTATATAACTTGCTTAATAATCATTGTGGTCTGCTAGAAAAATAAAGGATATAGTTGTGTTAAACAAAGCTCATGATTTATTCCTAGTTCTCCATTGCTTAGTTTTGCCTACAGAACGTTTTAGCCAAATAATTTTCCCCTACAGAAAGGTTATTAGTTAAATTTATAGGCAGTAATACTCAATGTATTCTATAACAATAAATGTAGAAGCAGAGGGAAGTGGTTTGGAACAGGCTCTGTCCTGACTCTGTGCAAGCAAACTTTCAAAGGAGACGTTCCCATGAATGGGTTAAAACAGTTTTCACTAAACCATACATAAAAGAAATCAACCAGCTGTAATAACTGAGCATGTTTGATCTTGCGACTGAAAAAATAAATTTGGTTCCTTTTGTAGCATTTTCCACCTATAGACCTCCAAGTCTTCATGTTTATCCTGGTTTATATGGTATTTCATTGCTGTGTGCGTTGAGGCTGGATTAAAGGTACCTAGTGTTACAAGCAGGCCTCTGGCCTTGCTAGGAAAGGAATTTGATTTCTTAACTTTCCTTATAATTCATAAATGTCAATATATACCAAAAGATACTGTTGACCATTATTATTTTTTAAAGAGAATGTAATTGGTATAACTATTTGAATATATGTGCCCTCGTGATTGCATTGCATGGCGTTGCTTGGATAATAACTTAACAGGATTGACATCTCTCAAAAGGGTAATTACTTAAATAAGACTGCCCAAGGAAGTTAGGTTTTCCTGTGTCATAATAATTTGTGCAGAACACTTCCTTGCACAACTCACAGTGTTATGGATAAACTAATCGTTGTGGGGTGACCCACAAAGGTTGTTGCCAACGTTGTTTGCTGCCTCCTAATCAGAAGGATTTTGTAGTTCCTATAGGTTCAGATAATGGATATCCCAATATTCTGGTTTTAAAACAAGGTGTTGGTGGGGTTTTGTTTGTTTTCACAAATCTTTTCATTTCTGTCATCTAGAAATTGCACACAAAAGAGCAAGGACAAATGTCAGTATAAGATAAAAAGAGAAAGTTGACTGTACGTGACTAGCTGTCAGCAGTTAGCTATTTACTCATTCTAAGTGTGACAAGTAGTAGATGAAATGCTTTTGCTAAGATGGATACGTTTTGAGAGTATAGGATGGTGTTGTGTTATTCTGTGGAGAATCAGGTTAAACAAACTCAGTCTATCTTGCATATAATAACACTGATTCCTAAAATATTTGGGAAGAAGAGACTCTTTGAAGAGATTCTACTGTAGTTGACAGTGTTCTTCAAGTTTTGCCCCTCACTGTGCAGGAAGCCTGATGTGCTCTTGTTTTGTATGTGTCTTCATCTACTGAATTTAAATAAAGTTGCAGTAAGGCTTTCTAGAGCTGCTCTACATCATCAGATTGCATCCAGCATTGTGCTTAGAACAAGCTATAAATAACTGACAACTGCAGAAAATCTCCAGAAGGATCATGCCTCTTTGGAGGATGCGATAGTTTTCAACACAAACTAAAATGAAAACAGTTCCTGAGCTCTTCTGAATCCTTTTTACTATTGCTAACAATGTCTAAAAAGTCTCACTAACCACAAAAAGTACTGATACAATAAATCCAGCTTTATAAACTGTCATTAGCCAGTTTAATTCTATATTGTTAACTTTCATCTAGATTTCAGACTAGATGTAATTTTATTTAGAAGTATTAATCCAGTGGCAGGTAAGATTTAAGAACTGTTCTAGTCTTCTGAGAGCTAAATCAGGTGATGTGTATTGGGATGCTGAAGAAGGGATTCCCTTCTCAGTGGTATTATATCTGTGCAAGGGAATGCACTGACATTTGCTTTTGTAAACAGCCAGACTAAGAGTCAGCATGTAACCCTGTTTTCATCCATAACCTCAGTGCAACAGGATTCACATAAATTGTCTTATATGTTGTTAAAATTGCCTGGGTCATTTGGGCATTTATTCATGGCATTACTTGTTATCACCAGTGTAACAGAAAGTAGGGAATTTTTCTATCATTCGGTGTCTTCATAGAACATTTGAAGTTAAGTTTCAAGTATGGGCAATAATTACTCATTTTATTTGTTATGCCCAATACTTCTCCATAACAGAAGCAGCAGCAATGGGCTTTTTGGTTTAGTTGAAACACACTTAGGACTGGTGTACCCAGCACAGCTGAGTAATGCTGCCATGAAAACCAGAACTGTGTACAAATACACTTTAAAAGGAGCGCATCTTCCTCCTTCCCCCAATGTGTTGTTTCCTGTTTTCCAGTGCAGCAGCTCATTACCACATAGTTTAACAGAAACTGAAACCACTTCTTAAGTGATGGTATGTAAATAAATCAGAGTACATTTTCTTGGCTGGATCTTCTTTTCCAAACTACCTTGCTATGAATTCTTGCATACAAATGGTAGTTGCATGTGATTAATGAAGTTAATGTCATTAGAAAAATGATGGTTTATTGCCAAATCAGCCCCATTTCTGCTATGTATTCTGAAAGGTTTTAACACATCTGAAGCTGGCATTTGCCTTTAAATTATGTCTGTATTTTCCATTCGGTATTGGCAGGTTAATGTTGTCACATGATGCTAAAATTGGCTCAGTGCCACCTAACCTCCATTTGAGTTTCATATAGATGAAAGCTTTACTTATAGCACACTTTCAAAGTAGCTTTTAAATGCTTGTGGCACTGAAGTGTTCAAGGTCAGGTTGGAGAGGGCTTTGGACATCCTCCACGAGATCAGGTTGCCCATGCCCACAGCACGAGGGTTGGACCAGATGGTCTCTAAAGGTCCATTCTAACCCAAACCCATTCTGTGATCCTATTTTCTTTTCCTTTGTGTTTCATCACATGGGCATCCTCTGCCTCCCTCACTGCCTATGTCTATTTGGGTTATTTTTCTTCTGATTTTAAAAGAAGGTTTCTAGCTATTGTGCAACAAGCTGGTCTTCTTTAGCTCCTCATTATTGTGATGAAGGACCGTGGCCCTTGGGGAGAGGTGTGAAGTGAGCAGGAGTTTGGAATTGTTTCAGTGAGGTTTAGCAGCTTGCTGTCTGTGATCTCAACACAATTCTTTACATAGCTATAGGAAAGCTAAGCGTGTTGGGTATAAACATGGGAGTGGAACATATGCCAATCTGTGTAACTCATCTTATACAAACAATTCATCAAGTCTGATCAAAAACATTTGGGATTTTCAGTTTAAGTTATAAAATGAGTGTATTCTTGAAAACAGTAAAATGTCCTTGCTTATTAATGTGATTAACACAAAGACCAATTAGAGCATATCGCCTGGCCTTTCCATCAATAAGAGCTTTTTCCAGCTACTTGAGATCAGTGCAAATATTTATGAGGCTTAATGCCTAAAGAATGATTTTCTTCTTTGACACTGAAGGGTATGTTGTATTTGAAACTAAGCAGCTGAAGCTCAGTACTGCGAGTACAGAGAACTTGAGGTCACTTGAAGTAGTTCAAACCAGAACTGACATACAGTTGCTTTTTGTCCAGTCTTTGCTTACCATTTAGGGGTAGGAAGATGGTTTGTTCTAGCTCTTCTAATTGCTTCAAAAATGCTGTTGATATACAGAAAGTTACACAAAGATAAGACCTCCTCAGAAATTTTTTAATCCAAAAAAATTCTTAGCATAAACAATATCTGGCTTTTCAACTTCCAAGCAACACAAAATCTCTAGCAGCTATATTAGAAGAATTGCCAGAAATACTCAACAGCAGCCAGTTGTGATTGTTACATGAAAAATAAATCATGAGAAGTCTTTGTGCATCTGTCTTTTGTAACAGAACATTACTTTTTTGTTTAGGTGAATAATGAATCGCAGATTTCTGAGACTTGCATTGATTTTTCCCAGTTATTTTTCCTGTTAATCTCTCAATATTGTTCTGCTCAATGACTTTAGCATGATGGAGTTCCAGGTGGAAAGTACACACGTGCTGTTTTGGGAGAATGTGACCCTGCTCTGGCGAGTGCTTGACTGCTGAGAACTCCTTGCAGCTGAGTCACAGCTCCACATGCTTTTTGCCTCCTTCCAGCACTGTTTTTCTTTTAAGAGTTTTACTTTGGGGGAAGGGAAAGGTTGGGCTTAACTACTGATCTTAATTTAGGGATGAAAGGAGAGTGGGGGAGGAAGAAACAGTGCACTCCAAACAGTGGGAACAGTGCATTGGGCTTGAGTTCCTGGAAAAGGCAGGGCTTTCTCTGCTTTATTATTAATATTTATTGGATGTGATGCTCAGGGACGTGGTTTAGCAGAGGGTTGATAGGGTGGTATGGTCAGGTCGTGGTTGGACTCGATGATCTTTAAGGTCTTTTCCAACCTAAGTGATTCTATGATTAACATTTTAATTAACATGGCTGCACCAAGAGGCAGTGCTGTATGTGGACTTCTGTGGTAGAACAGAATGGTGACCTATAACTGTGTTGTTTAATGTATAGTCACAGCTTGGGTGAGATGAAGAATAAAGTATTAAATACATCTTAGCCTTTAGCTTCTCCCAGAGAACTGGCCTAGCTACAGGCAAGAATGCCAAGGCAGTTATTCTGTGTTTATGCTCCAGTATGACCGGAAAACAGCCATCATAACTGCCACTAGAAAAGGCCTTTCAGTGTTTTCTGAAACAGGCAAACTTGTCTTCCTGCTCCTGAGCCAGCTGCAGTGCTCGGATAACTTGTAAACTGTTTACAACTGGCTGTAGGAATGCCAGATTATGCCAGGATTCTTCCACCACTAGACAAAGACACTTCTCACCCAAAAAAGTGAAGCTAAGCAATGACTGATTGTTTGTCTAAAAGCACAATAGCAACTATTCATCCCCATCGTAGAGACACTGTGAACATCTTTGTAGTTTTATATCAGAGTGCTTTTAGAATGAAGTGGAAAGTTATGAACTTGACTTAGTAGTTAATTTACACTAAGCAGTGTAGCTTAAAAGAGTCTGCAGAAGGAAACTAACCCTAAGTGAGTTGCCCACTGGAATACCCTTGGCTAACTAACCCATCCTACTAATTAGCTGCTTTTGTGGACAAAGGTTGTCTCTTTTTTCATGCGGAATTTCCATTTTGCCTCTCAGAGACCAATCTTGCTTTAAGATAATTGCAGAGATACCTGAAAGATTTTGAACCTGCATTTTGATGCAAGATCTTTAATTACACTGGCTAATATTTAGAAGAACTGCAGTAATATTAACTGTTAGTTTGCTTATACAAGATTGAGCTGCTCCTCAGACTAAAATGTTTGCATTTTTTTACTATCATTTCTTCTTGTATTTTCTATGAGTGTTTTTGAAAAGCTTCCCTGCCCTAATTCTGTTTTGCAAATGTGATTGGAAACATAGTCTATTTTGGATTACTGGGACAGTGTTTAACCTGGCGTGAACAGTTGCCAGATAGTCTGCCCCTTGTCTCTCATATCTGTTGAATAAGTTCAGACTTTGATACAGTTTCTGTTTTGAGTTCAGTCACAGGGTTGCAGCACAGTGCAAGGCAAATGACTTGATCTGTTTGTGCTCTGTGTAACATAAATACTGTTCATGTCCTTTTGCAAAGGACTTGCATACAACTTTGCTCCTTACATTTCTGTATTTCATCATTGCTGTGAAGTTACTGCTTCAGTATGGCTTAGCAACAAAGCTCTAACTCAGTCCAGATTGTTTGCTGCATTGCAGTGAGGAAACTTAGCTAATAGCAGTAGTAATGATTGCACTTCTGGGAACAACTTGTCCTGGGTGCCACCTTACGCAGAAGAACCTAGCAGAGGCATAGAAACTAAATGGTAACTACTCTTATGACTTTGCTGTTGTATCCTAATACTTAGTTTAGAAGTAAAGGTAAAGATGACACCTAGAATAACACGTACACGTCTTGTGTCTAAGATGGCTTTAAGAAAGCACACGCTTACAAGTTAGGAACAGCCAGGAGGAACGTGATATTTTTCTTGGAAAAGCAGCCGTCTTTCTTGTGCCTTGTCGTGCCAGCAGATCAGCTAGCTTGTGTTTAGCCAGCACTGAAGGTGTGAATTTTGCCTCTTGTTTAATTTTATGCATTTTACTTATTCTACAAACTCTATTTGGATATGATTTCTTTGAAGGATGTCCTTTTGTTGTCCTTCTCCTTTTATAGGTGGTAGGAACTATTGTTTAGTAGAGTCAGAAAGCTTGTGTGGTGTGTACATTAATAGTGGCCTTTGGATTTTAACTGTTGCACCTTATGTGTCTTTAATAATGCTCGTTAAATAACGGCTGCTTAGAATTCCTAGCAGGGATGAGTTAGCTACAGAGAATTGTAGTTTTGAACATGAGTTCCTGATGGCAGGATGTCATCTGTCATGCTAAAAATGGTAACAGAGTTGTATGCTTCAAATGGAACTGCTTTGTTAGAAGGTGCAGACACTTGCATGGATGGATTTCTTTCAGTGTTCGTTGTATCAATATACATAATCTAGAAAGAGAGCTGTCATAATTAGGAGCGAGCAGAGTTGGAACTTTAGCTTTCCCTGTTTCTGTTGGCAGTCCAGGAAACTGGGCAGTTCTAATATCCTTGAATGTTTACAGAACTGTAACTGCACCAAAGTGGCAGGAACTGGAAAAAAAATGCGTTAAAAAACAGAATGTTGGCAGGCATCAAAGTTATATCCAAGTACAACAGAGACTAATTCTTTTCTGTGAGCTGCTAAGGTCCTGTGTAAGGAGCACTTGTGAGTGAGGAAATAAAGAGCTGCTAGTTAGCCAGAACCAGATGGTGTCTGCAGCCACTGCATCAGGGCTGCCTGACAGACCTATCAGAATCTGAACTGATCTACTTTCAGCTCCAGAGCTGACACTGGCTACATCACAACTGGAATTTTTTTAGTTCATACAGGAGCCTAAATATTCAACCAACTGGAGAGACTTCCACAGCATTTCCCTTGAATTAGTAGATGAATTGGTGGAGCTGGAGTGTGTAGTTGGGCATCATTCAGTGGGAGTTTTCCCTCTGCTTACTACTCACGTATTTCTTTTTCATTGTAGGCAAACTGAAAGATCTTGGGAATTTGGTTCTTCGCCCCTTTGGCCTGTCAACAGAAAATTTCCAGATAAAACAGGATTCATCAACTGGCTCATATTCCATCAATTTTGTTCAAAATCCAAACAACAATAGATAACATGAATTCAGCTTAGTTCTGCTGGCTTTCAGGCTTTGTGACCATGTGCTTGCATGTACCAACACAGGGATTCAGCAAACATTCTTCACTCTGTCCAAGTGAAGATAGACTCAAGCACATTCATTTCCCTGCTTATAAATTATTTACAATGTGGATGTAAAGAAAGTCATTTGACTTCTTTTAGTGATAACTCTGTCCTGTGTGTGATTCTCCACTTGCAGTATTTGGCTTGTCCACCAGTCAGGTACATTATTTGGGCCCATTCAATGCTGGCAAGAAAATTCTAGCAAACAGTTCAGTTGAATCAAAATGCCCGTGCACCTGTGGCCAAGAACAAAGCCAGATGGTGTCTTGGGGAATTAATGAATCTAGCAGAAGCACTTCTCCACATTCGGGAGGTGGATGTGACTGACAGCATGCATGGAAGCAAGCCGACCTCCTCTGTGGAATAATTTTTCTTGGTAATAAAGGCTTAGTATTTCTGTTGGATTGAATGTGAAGTTTTTGCCTTGTGTGAATCCTTTCCATGGTGGCAATGTTGTTCAAAATTGTGACATCTACCCACAGATAACATACTGACAAGACAGTAATTTGATGCACTTGAGGTGGTTTTTCTTCTTGCTTATGGCAACATCAGTCCGTTATCCTCAGGCTACCCTTTGTTTACTTTTTATTTATTCTCATTTTTTATTTATTTTCTTTTGAAAATGCTACAGAAGCTGTGTGATGTTACGTATACACCTTGGAAAGTCATATAAAGTTAGGGAAATCTGCTTCTCTGAGACTTGTTCATGTTACAGATCCCCATCATGGCCAGCAATTGACATTAAAATTGATCGCGAAAGTTTCTTGTGATGTAACAGGCTTTGAGAATGCTGAAGCATTAATTTATAGAGAGCTATAAAAAAAAAAGTAGTTTTCAAGTAGTTCATCCAGATTTTGGAGAATGAATATCTTTTGTAATTACTGCATATTGTTGTGGAAATGTTTACATTGGAGGCAGACTTCTTCAGTTGTCTCCACGCAGATTTCAAAACGTGATTTAATTAAATAATGACTGGTAGCTCTCTGTTGGCTATTAGTTGTCATCTTAAATTTATTTCAAGAAATCTTTTTGTGTGTACTTAAAGACTGAAACTGTACTTGCTGCATGTTTGGAGCTCCAGTCTTTACAGTGATGTGCCTGTAGGGAATACTCTCAAGCTAAGCTTTCTTGGTGCTTTCTTTTTCTTTCATTTTACCAGTGCAGACTTAAAGGTGTAGTGGTTGGGGTTTGTTGTTTTTTGATTGTTGTTTCACTCTGTCCTGGTGCATTTTTAGTTTTGACTTTGTGGTTAACTGTCTATAAATTATTCCATGTCTGCAGTGAGGTTGTGTTACATTTATGAGAATTAAAATGTCATTGCCAAGAAGGACTGTGCTGCCTTTAACATCTTCTATGTAATTAAAATGTCTCTTAACTAAGCAAAAGTGTTCAGCCTCTAGGATTTCCATGTGCTGAAACAGTAACCGTGTCTTGTTTTACTGGACTACAATTCCTAAGTGCAAGATTTTATTTCCTGTACTAAAATTGGGTAGACTGGTAGGTGTATGGATGGGAGGCTTTAAAGAAAGATGCTGCTCGTGGTGCTGTGGGTTAACCCAGCTGGGAGCTCAGCGCCATGCAGTCATTCACTCATCCCCTCCATTCCCAGTGGCAGAGGGCTGAACTTACCTGGGCAGTGCAGTGAGGATATAAGGGAGTGTACTGGGACAGAAGTCTGCTCACACCCAAGAGGCTGCATAAGCTAATTAACTGGCTCAGAGCTAGCAACTCTGCTTTCAGAAGTGCAGCACTCTGCTTTCATAAGAGAGCTCTTTAGACTCTTTAGAAGGCTTATTAGGTGAAGCAGAGTACTGAGACTGGTATAAATCTCACTAATTTCACCTGAAGCCTGGACTTCTAAGGAGCAGAGGCTCCAAAGCAGCCCTGGGCAGAGGCTCTGTTGAGCTGGAACTCATAAGCTTGGTTTGAGCCCGAACTGAGAAGCCACTCAGGAATGCCTGAATCATGCCTTGCTAAAGCTTCTAGGTCAGCACGTGACAGGTAGAGATGTCCACTGATGCTGTTGCAGGTTCCATGTTGCCTGACACTGAAGAAGTGTCTGGCCCTGGAAGCACAGCAGTACGGCTTCAGCTGGAGCAAGGCAGTCCACTGACTTGGATTTCACCATCTGGCCTGAGCAAAGGAGTGCATCCAGGGGTTTGTCTTGTTTAGCAACAGCCCTCTATCACTGAATGTGAGGCAGCTTAGATCAGAATCCCAGCCTTCTCTCAACTGCAGTGCATACCCCTACACCACGCATAAATCAAACCACTTTGAAGCTACTGTGGATGCTGTACTTTATTTTTTCTTTGTATCTTGATTATTGCCAATTAATTGTTACCTTTACTCAGCCTTCTGTGTGTACTGGTTTATGGCTGTCGTGTGGAGTTGCAGGCAGTGATTTAACGATTTGCTGCTTTGTCTTACAAATGAATTTGGCGACAAATGCTCTTCCTGCCATTCTGTTCCATTCTTATCTTTAAAGACCTTCTTGGGCAGAGGCTGGGTAGCTTGCTCTGGAAAATAAAAGCACAACAAAACTTGTGATATTTCTACCTGCTGTGCAACTTCCCTGCTGGATGCCTGCTGTGTACCTGTAGTTTTAAAATGAAGGGTAGAATAAATGGAGCTGAAGAATTGCAGCTGATTTGCTTTTCATCCTTGTTTGTAATTTAATTGCATTGTGTGAAAGAGACAGCTGAATGTCACTGTAAGTTGTGCACACCATTAGAGAGGACTCATCTGTAGGTCATTCCTACTCAAAGTGCCGCTGTCTGGCTAGAATAGAAACCTCTGGACTGTGTTATTTGACATTACTGCAAGTTTTTTTTCCAGGTAAAACACCAATTAATTGCCTGATGGAAGCTCTTTTGCATTGTCCACATCCTGAAGCAGCTGCCTTTTCTTTTTTTTTGGCTTTTTATTTTAAAAGGGATTTTTTTTAATATCTAAACTAGTCATCACAGCTGCCAAGAGAAAGGTAATTGGTACTTCCTCCTGTTGTAAATGGTCACAGATCCCTTATTGCCAGGGTGCTTTGAGTCACATGCATTGGGTTTACAACCTCTAATAGGAAAAAATGCTCTATGCAGCAATCTTTTAAATATAAATGCTCTAAGCCAACAACATCTCTTAGAGTTTCGTTCCAATAGTTACTCACCCTTGTGTTTTCAACAGATATGCCTCTTTTCCACTTGGCGTAGTCTCTCCTCAGCTCCCAGCCTTTGTTTCATCTCATTTCTCTGCAAAAATAAAAAGCTGTTAGTACCTGGCACTTTCTCCTTGAACATGTTTGCATAGTAATGAAGGGGCCAGCTGGTTTTCTCTGTAAGCTGAACAGACAGGGTTTCTTTAAGACTTTCCCTACAAATAATTTTCTCCAGGATTTCTGTTTGTGTTTCAGACTTTGTTTTTCCTTTATCAGTTGTCTCTTTCCTTTATCCTTGTCATTTAAGAAGGGACATCAGAACTGATGCTGAGTTTTGTCTCTTTTCTACTCTATATAGAAAGCATTACATCCTTGCTTACTTCTTTCTTGCTTACATGCTCAAACACTGTTAGCCCTTTGGGCAACAGCTGTGCCAAGTTTTAGACCCCCTAAGCCTTTGCTGGAAGGAATACCTGGTTCCTCAGACCCCCACTTTCCTGCAGCTGTGGGTGAGTTGTTCGTGCTTGCGTTATTGCAGCTAAATGCAGGGTTCAGTCATGTTTCCTTTGGTCGAGCTTGACAAAAAATGCGTTGTTTGGTATGACTTCCCACCATGCTGCTGCTTACCAGGGTTTTCAGGAGTGACTTCAGGTTTGTTTCTTACTGACAGATGGAAGTGTTGAGTAGTATGAGAACTAGCTGAGGTTTGAGCAGGATCTCACAGGAAGCATCCCCACTGCAAGGACAGTGGCAAACTGTTTGAGGTCTGCCAGAGAGACAGACCTTAATTCATGTGTGCAACGTTTATTTTATGTTGTAGATATTTCCCTACAAATGTTACAGATATTGTAGAGTGCAGTGCTAGGTGATGTATCTTCATGATTAGATTAGCTGAGAGTTGTTGAATGACAAGATCTATTTTTGATGGATTTTAATTGCCTCTTTTCTATTAATTCTTCTCTACTGAGACCCTGCTTACACGTGGCATGTTCCTGTGCCGCTTGGTGTGAGTAGAGATTGCAGACAGTATTTCAACCCCGTGTCGTCTCAAAAGAAACAAGACCCCAAAAAGAGAAAATCTGTGGATGAAGGAAGAGGGTTGAAGAGTGTTCGGTGGAACATGGCAGATGAGTTCTTGTTGTGGACAAACAAAACAGTTTTCAGCTTGTCTCACCAAACAACTTCAGGCAAACTGAAGAAATGGGAAAATGTAATGAAAGAAGTCTTGAGGGTAAAGCTGCTGATTTCAAAGTTCATGCTTCGGTGTTGGACGAAATTACTGATGCTACAGCGATGGCTCAACTGGCCATTTTTATTAGAGGTATTGACAGCAAATATCACTGGAGAAATGGCTTCTTTGATGCCATTGAAAAAAACACAACTAAATCTCTTGATTTTTATGAAGCAGTAAAAATTACATTAAAGCAGTTTTCTTCAGCCTTTGTCAGCAGATCTGTTACAGCAATTGATGGGGCCCCAGCAATGGCTGGTTAAAAAGAGGGACTTACAAAATTAATAGAAGATGCAATTGCTGCCAGCAACTCATGTTTGATGAAATCTCACAGCATCATACATCAAGAACATGCCTGTATGAAAGCTTTAAAAATGGATAATGTCATGTGAACCTCCATCAAAGCTGTGAATTTCATCAAGTCTGAGGGATTCAATCATCACCAATTCCAGATGTTCCTTAAGCGAATGGATGCTGATTATGGGGACATCATTTACTTTTCTGAAGAGAGGTGACTAAGAGTGAAATGCTACAAAAATTTTTACAAGTTGTGAAGTGAAATCAGGTCATTTATGGGATCAAAAGGAAAATTTGTGCCAGAACTCGTGGATGAAAAATGGCTCATGGATTGAGCATTTGTGGTGGATTTCACTACTCTTTTAATTGAGTTAAATGTGTCTCCTCAGAGTGAAATTTAACTTTTCTGCGCTATATTTCGACTCGTGACAGCATTCAAAATGAAACTTAATTATGGGAAGCTGAAGTTATGGCAAATAATTTCATGCATTTTGGTACAGCGGCTGAACTCAGCCCTGTGAACAAGTGTGGCCCAGGCAAGCCAAAAGGTTGAACAAGCTGCTCTAAATATTACAGCCATCCAAAGCAGCAGAGCCAGGAGCTCGTACCAGAAAGCCCTTTAGAAATAAATTTAAAAAATGCAGAGTGCTCAGCACATCTTCAGCACTTCAGCTTTTCATTACAAGGCCACTTAGAAAGCAGCTCATTCATTTGCTGGTGATGCCGTAAGTAGCGTTTCTGGGGCTTTACCAGCACAGCCAGTGGCTGTGCTCAGATGTCTCTTCAGTCTGTGGTATCTAAAATTGCTGCTGTATCTTCATTTCTACCCTTCCTGAATAGGTAATAGCAAATAATTGCCAGTCTGATCATTTAAGTCATTCCAGTACATCAGCATGTGCTAAAGCTTCTATCTTTATCATTTGTGAGGACGTGCCAACTTTCTTATTGTGCAGGAATATTAGAAATAAGATCAAGGAACCTTTGAGTGTTCTCCTGTCCATAATCTGCACTTAATTGTAAGAGTAAATTTCAGATTATATCACATCTGTTACCTCTATGCCTTCACGTGTGATGGGAGTGGGATACCCAGGAGTGCTGTCTTCATCCTCTCTTCTTCTGCCAGCACTCACATCAGCTCCAGCTCCTGTGTCAGACCTGCACAGAGTTCAGAGTTGGCACTGTCTCAATTTGTATCATAAGATCTGCCTTTCAGAACACCAGTTTAAGCAGGAGACAACACCCTCCAGCACAGAAGAGGCCTTGGGACTAACATAATCCATGACTTACTGTAACTGCAGTGCTGCTGATCTCCTCCTCCCAGTCAGTAAGCAGGAATATGAAACCGCTCCCAGCTCCTCACACCAGAATATTTGGGATTTGGTAAAGCACCAAGCTTTGAAGTTGAACCCTTCCCTCCCTGATTAGTGCATTTCATCACTTTCTTTCAGACCCACCTACCCCTGATGAGAGCAGACACAGCTGCACAAAAAGGAGAAGCCTCTGGTCACCAGCTCCTGTGCTTTAATGAGCTGTGCTGTTCCTAAGGGATTACTGCAGCAGCCAGGAGCTGTTGCCGGCTGCTGCAGCCAAGAACCAATTATATCCCAGTACCACCTCTTTAAGTGTAGGTACAGATGTGTACAGGCACATTTAATGTGCATTAATACATTGCTCATTCGCAAGCTTTCCCTGTTTGGAAGAATCCCAGCATTTTCTTGTTCAGCTGCTTAGTTTTTTTTCTAAACCTGCACAGCCTCTTGTGTGAAAGGAAGCAATTGCTGGGGGATCTTTCATCAGCAGAGGCTCTGGTTAGCTGCTTGTCAAAGAAACATTCTGCTGAGGCACAGTAAATTGCCAGGCTCTAGGCTGCTGTGGCATTAAGCCAGAGTCATCGCAGCCTACCCTGACAGAGGAAAGTCCTATATAGATGAAATGTCCTAAACCAGCCAAAAAACAGTAACCACATTTTTCTGATTCTACATGTTCAGTGGCAATCCTCCTGGCTGGAGGCATCACCATTTTCAGCTATGTCTCCAGCCTGGAGCCAGGATTCCCCATACCTGCCTGCTGCTCAGCAGCTGGCTCACAAGAAAACCATTCTCAGATCAGCCCTCCTGGCACAGAAACAGCACCAACAGCTCTCCTTTCCAAGCCCAGCCTGTTCACCCCACTGTCCTTCGCATCGCTGCCCACACTGACCATATCCCCAGCATTGCTGCAGGGACCTGGGGCCCTGTGCTGCAGGAGGTGGCTGGAATGGCCTAAATGTGTTCCCAGAGCATTGGTGGCATGTGCCAGCCATAAAACGGGCCCTTGGAGAGGCAGCAGCGCGGCTGGGCTCTGCTGGAATAATTGCATCCAGCAATTGCATCTGTCTTTATCTCAAGGAGAACCAACACGTTTAGCTCATCTGCCACAGCCTGCCATCTTGGGGCACTTTTCTGTCTGAGAAAAGAGTCAAGGCAGAATCTGGTAGCTCTGGGAAGAGGAGGCTGCGAGCAAACGCACTGCTGCCCCTGCCTGTTACATGGCAGCTCTCTGCGGCCACACGGACCTGCAGGTGCCCTGCAGGAGCTCAAACACAGCAGAGGCACTGATACGTGCAACCAGCAGCAAGTTTACTAAGCCAAGACGCAACCAGTGGCTCTGCTATAATTTTACCATATTAAGGAAAACATACGTGATGTACATACAGCAGCCCTTGTTCTCCCAGCTTATTTGCAGCGTTCTCTTTGAAAAGACAAACAGACAACAGAGTGACTCAGGAGAAGGTTAACCATCTCCAGCTGTACTGTATTAGTAGTTCAGAGGCCTCATCATAAGCACGGGCCGATGCTCTTCCTTCTGCATTCTGGATCCCCAGCCCCAGCCGCTTTCTCCAGTGGCTCAGAGAACTTTAATATTTGAATGAGCCCGGGAGCAGGCACAGCCTGCCTTTAATATTTAATGACCAAGAGGACTACATTTGGAAATTTGTGCCTCTGAGCTCTGAAGATTCAGAGCTTTTAGCTGAAAGTCTGGATTTCAGAGTTAGAACTGCCCCTCGTTAGCTTTGAATATTTACCCAAAATCCCAAATAGCCCAAAGCTGACACATGGGTCACAGCCTGCCTGGCCCTGAGCACACATGGCTTGAGCTCCAAACCCAGTGGGTAAACAAAAACAAACACTACTGAAACACTCAAGGGAAAAACATGAGCAGAATCATAAAGCCAGGCTGCAGAATGCAAACAACAACCTGACAGCACCGTACCAACCAGGAAATAACCCAACCCTTTTTCTAAGGCCATCTATATGTGCTGAGCCTGCCAGAGCCTTCCTGTAACAAAGAGGGAGAATGACAAATCCACATCCAATGACTTGAGCGTGGACAAGTGAACGAGAGCAGAAATGAAGACAGCGGGTGCCACTTGATGCCAAGGGCAGGTCACCATTCCTGTGGCTCTCAGAGGGCTGCACGCACTGCTGCTGTGTCATTGCACTGCTTTTACAACCAGCACATGGCAGTGCAAGTACTGCTGTGCCACTGGGAGAGCAGGAGGATGAACTTCCTTACAGGGTGGGTCAGATCTCCACGTGAGGCACGACGACACCAGCCTTGTATGCAACCTTCTTGCATTCCCAACCTTTCTGAAAGCGCAAAAGCAGGAAAAGGGCATCGCCATGCAAATCTCAGCAGCCCCTTATGCTCTCAGTATCCCCAGAGGATGCTGTCAGACAGGGAAATGAGTCCAGCTCATCAATGGGGAGCACAAAGGTAATGTGAGATGCTGCCATTTTCTTCACTACCAAAGCGGCCGTGGGCAGTTAACCATCTTCTGTGCTCTTTATCTCATCACATTTAAAAATAACGAGTATGTGACAGCATCTGAACTGACCACCCCACCTCTCTGTTAGCAATATGCCTAATTTCCTTCAGAAGTCTGTGCATTGCTCTCACCCTATAAGAAATCTTGTTTCTCCATTCCAATGCCTCTCATTTCAGCTGGCACGTCACGAGCACTTCTGCTCTCATTAAGTATTCCCCTTTTGATGCTTCGGAGATGCAGTAAACATTATTACAGAGTGGCATTGTGCAGGATTGGCTTCACTGCTGAAGGTTGGCTTACTTTTATACTTTCATCACCAAACTGCTGGAGTGAAGATTAATCAGTGGAGTAATTGCAGACCTCTGAAACCTGTATGGCCAACCTCTCCTGTGGGTTTCACAGCCATGCAGCGAATCCAGCGCTCCCACAGGGAAAGCTCCCGACACAATGCCACAAAGGAAAAGCCATTAGTGAGCAATTACATTTCAGCAGGATTTCCCCTCTCCACCGACCCCTAATGAGGATAACCAATTCAAGAGGAACTGCTGCAAGAATGAAAGAATAATGAGAGAAAGGGGATGGGAGTTCCTGTAATCCGGGCAGAATAAGAAACAACTCTGTGAAGGCGAAGAAAACCACGCAGGGGCTGCGCTCCGAGCGACGGCCAGAGGTGGAGACCTGCTGGTTACAGGAGGCACAGGCTGACCCAAAAGCCTCACGGAGGCCCCACACCAGGGTGGCAGCACTGCAGATGGCATTCACGTGCACAGCCGCTCCATCCAGAAGTTAACTACTCGGTTTTGGAGAAAGCCTTAACAACTGGCAATGGATCAATAACAAAACACCTGGCGTCACACAGGGCAGCCGGTACCACACAACCTGCTCCTCCTTCAGGGCACCACAGTGGGACAGAGCCACTCAGCACGGCGCGTTCCTCACCCAAACAGAGGAATGAATTCCTCACTGCACTTACCTGCTGCAGACAACTTGTCTGAAGCCGTCAGTACTGCCACAGAAAGGTGAGCAGGTGGGGTGTGGGTACCCAGCGCATCCTGTGCCGCTGCTGCTTTGTGCCCCACTGGGCTGTGCTTGCCGGGAGCTCTGTGGCTCCCACCAATGATCCTTGCCCACCTAGAAGCACGGCTGGAGGGCTGCAGCCTCTCACTGGGGCCTCCTTCAGCAGGGCTGGGTGCCTCCATCGCAACCATGAAACTAGGCCATCGAGGTTCACTGTGAATCTAGCTCTATAAAGCACAGCTAATCTCATCTTCTTAATTACCAACAAGCAAAAGAAAAGCTTTTCCCCATCTCCTGTGGCAAGCTGGCTGAGCACACCTTGACATCTTTCACCATTGTGAAATATAAGCCTGGAGAGAGACTTGTCCTGATGACTCACTTCCAGCAGCGGACAAATAAACTCAGTTTAATCTTTAATTCAGAAATAAATAAATAAATAGAAATCTTTTGGGCCAAAGACTAATAAAACAAGGAAGCTACAATATGAAAACGTTATTCAACATTATTTCCCTTTAAAAGAGCACTGAAAAAAATCAAGGCTTTATTTGAATAAATGTTACACAACATTCTTTATCATTTACTTCTCAGCAAACCTTAAAGGATGAATCGTTTTCCTCATTCAAGTCTACAAAATGAAAGAGGCATAGTGACCATTCAATATACAGACAAGAAGGTAGCACGGAGCAAAGCTTAAATATTAAGCAACTAAAGCAAAAAAGTGAAAAGCAATACATTACTGTAATTCTCTATCATTAGAATATCCCTGACAATTTCATTTCAAAATGAAAATCTGGTTTCAAACAAAATGGCTGCAATACTTTCTGTGAAAACAAACACAAGTACAGTTAGCTACCTTGTCTATTTTTATGCTGTTTGCTTATATACCCATATTATCCAATGCATAGACCTGCATCACTCTTAAGTGTTTTTTTAAATATATATATATATATATTTCAGCTGCTGTGCACAAGTGCTCATGGTGAGGAAATCAGAGCACTGGTTAAGAGTCAGATGTCACACAGGCAGGCACTACCGGCTTCTACTTACAACATCAATCGGTTTTCAACCCAATGTGCAATAACCCTGCTATTACAGTCCTGGGCCTTTTTCCTGAGCAGAAACTGTTTTGTGCCATGTTGTTTGGTGGCTTCTTTTTAATTTGGTTGTTTGGTTTTGGGTGAGGGTGGGTGGGTGTGGATAAAAAATGTGATTTATTAGGCCAAGGCTGTCACTGATTAGCAGTGCAATGGGGGTTTGGTGTCCAGAGGTGAAAGGCCAGCACATACACCATAGCACATCACTTTCCCTTTCATCACATCAGATGCCTTAATTTTTCTAAATTCTAATCACATCTCAGCCACCAACAGCACCTGACTGGTGAAAAGGAAGAGTGCTGCCAAACATTAATCCGAAACTTAAAAAGAAGGATTGCAGTTTATTATGAAAAACTGTACAACTCGAACCTACTATATAGCATGATGCAGCTGTTTGTTAAGAAGTAGGCAGCATGTGCTCCATTTCCAGCTTTATAAATAAATTACCTCTTAATAAAAGGAACTGAGCAAGCGCTCAGCACGGCCAGCCTCACTGTGTGCATTGCTGATTTGCCCTTGCTGGAGCTGCTCCAGCCCCTCACTGCCCTTCTCCCCAACTGCTCAACTAACTGAAACCCACTGCCAGCACCAAAGCCAAGCAGTGGAGGTGGAGTGAGTTTGGATTCTATGTTACTTAATTCAGGCTCCATACACGAAGGCTGTAAAACTGCCTTCATGCTGACAGACACCTCTCAGAAAGGTATTTTTCTTTTTAAATGATCTGGACAAAGACACTGTGCTCTCCAATCAAATCAGGATATTAGTAAAGAGGAAAAGAGTTTAATACAAGTCTTTTCACTTCTATATAAACAGAAATTTGACTTTGAGTAGATTATGTGCACATTTTCAGTTCTTCAGAACAAATATTTTTTCCCAGGCTATATAGTAGATCCCCTTCTAAAAACGTTGTAAGAAATGATACTGCTGAGAAAATGTGCACACAACATGAAATAATCAGTGACAAATAAATTAATATTTAATAAGTCAATATTTCAGCAGCATGTCCAGCATTCACAAGCTCCACTGAAGTAAGTCGTAATCACCAGACACCTTTTGGGGAAAGGGAATAAAATGGATCAAACCCACTGGGTTTCTTTTTTTGATTTACAGCTATTCAAAGAAGTCAACAACCATCAGAAACACGAATAAAGCCTTTGCTCTACTACTTACGTATCTGAGAAATATTGACGTCAAAAGGAAAAATTAACCCATGATTTGAAATAGAAATGCCATTCCATTTAATCTCTCCACATTCACGACTCCCATCTCGTCAAAGTATCATAAGCAAAACGCTGCTCTCTGCATCGTAACCCTTCTGCAATCCTCGGTTCCCTAAGTGGTACAACAGCATAAATAAAATGCAACCATATTCACACAGAAGGAGCTTTCCCATAATACAGAGATACACGGATTTGTGGTCACTGCCCCTTCCATCACTTCTATGGGAAATGTTGGTCTCACGTAGCAGGACTGTTCATATTGTACAATACAACTGGTTTCAGACATGCTTTTGATCACAGGTCACAGCTCTGCTAACACCTGCACTAAATACTAACTAAGCCTCATAGAATGGAAAATTGCAATGCTAAAGTTAAGAATTAAAATAAAAGTTCAAAAGTTACAGTCAACTTCCCAGGCAATTGGCTCCATCACTGGCACCTATCGAAACATACAAACTGACTGTCACATTACAAAAAAAAAACAGTTATTTGCAGTGATTCTTCATACCAATAATTCAAGTGGTTCCTTGCATGTAAGTGTCATAGAGTCTGTAATAATTTCATGCGTCATTTATTGCAAAAAAGTTTTATAAAATATTTCCTAACATCTTTTTAAACTTTAAAGAAAATGTACATTAGGTACAGGTGCCCCAGCAGGGTGCGAGGGGTGGCTTCAACATATTTACCCCCTTTCCCATTCAAAAAATGTTTACTGCTTGGTGAAGATTTCAGAGGAAAAATAGGACCATTCAGTCTCAGATTTCTTTCAGTCCTGATGAGCTGGTGCTCTTCGTGGCAGTGTAGTGAGGTTCCATAAGAACAGCAGCTGCCTAGTGCCTCTGAGCTGCAAAGGGGAGACAAAGGGAGAACGGTTAAACGTGGCTCAGTGCCTTCCAGTGTGTATTGCAAAAGTAGGCAAACAACATCTGAGGTGGCCAGAAAAGCTCCCGGTTCACCTGCTCAGCTTGGTGACAAATATACGTGTATGTGTGTGTCCACATGACAGTAAGACATACACCAGTGAACAAACTCCTCCACTGATGGGAGCTCTAAGAGAAGCTCCGCACCGATCTGTTACGTCTCACCCCATTTCAGCATCAAGAGAGAACTGCAATTTTCAAACACATTTCGGGGTCGTTCATGAAGGAATGAGATTTAAACAAAAGGTCTGTGCAGTGACGTATAATTTACAGTGCTGGACTGAAGCTGACGCTATAGCAGCGTGCTGAAGGTGAGACCTAAAGAATGCATGGGAGCACTGAAGGCTAAAGCTGCTCAGCACATTTCTTCCCACTATTGCTTATGTTTTCCCATTTGCTCTTCAGAACTCAAATGAAATGATGGTAAGGCAGAAATGGGCCAAGTAACGACTGCTGCACGACAGCACCGACCACTGAGGGCAGCACAGATTAGCAGTGTGCCCTGAATGGTGCTTCTGGAATGTAGAGAAAGCAGATTTCAAAATAATATTTGAGTGGGAAGAAACCTCTTAGAGGTCTTCTGGTCCAACCCCTTTGCTCACAGAAGGGCTCCAGCAGGTCCTGGCCAGCCTTGTTGGCTCCCATCACTGTTCTGTTGAGCTTCAGACTGCTGCAGCTACTTTAATGCATGTACACATTTTCCTGTACTGACAGTGGCTTGGTGAATAACGCATACTGCAGGTAGGAAACTCCTAAGGATCCTTCTACACTGATAACTCTCCTGAATAATATCGAAAAGAATAAAAAAATGAGAGCAAACGAGAACAATTTGTGAAACTGGGCCTAACTCCAGAGAAGGCAGGGAAGATACAGGAGATAACTATGCAGTTTCTCAACTGTTCAGTTGCTCATGAGTGAAATAGAGTTAAAATAGGAGCGAAATTTTGGGAAAGCTGACGCAGATAAAATGAGGACTAATTACAAAATTGAGCAGATCCAGGCAAAGATGCACTCAGCTGCCATCCAGGGAAGTAACACATCGTTTAGCAAAGAAACTGGCAGACAGCAAAACAGCATCAACAGCAACAGGTACTTATCTATGTAAGGACCCGACTGCCCACAGAAGACCTTGGTGCTCAAAGCCAGAGCTCTACTATGAATTGTGCCACACCGTCTAAAGTGAGAACTGAAGCAATGGATTGCAATTTTTGGTAACCATGACCAAATATAAATTGTAGAGTAAAAAAAAGCAAAGTTGGGGCACTGACTATTCAGAATGGATAGCGTTCTACATCTGATTTGTAACGAAGCCTGTAAGAAAATAGATCTTTTTCACATAGGCAGACATTGTGCCATCACAGCCAGTGGCCAAAGCCAATTCATACCTATATTCTTCTGTGTCTTAGATATGCCTTACTTCCTAAAACGTAAAACAACAGCAGCTACTCCTCTCCTGTTTAGCATGTGACGCCGATGAAGAACCATTTTTCCTCCCCAGGTGAAAACCATAACGATGAAACTGCCTCTCCTTTGGCTTTATGTATTCATATGAAACAGTGCACAGTTGTGTATACCTCATTAGTAATGGCCAGACTACCCAGAATGTCTTTACTATAGCAATTAAAGTCACTTAAAAGCAGATGACTCTCAGTTGTAGAGCGTATTGGAGTTTCTTTGTGTGCTGCTTCACATTTTTTGTTCTAACAACTATCCCCATATGGCCCTTCACAGCCTATAAACTGAAATTCAAAGCCTTTTTGGCAGTAGCATTATAATCACTGTTGAAGTGATTATAGCATGGAAGAAACCTGAGACAACCCAAGGTGAAAGTGCAAATGGACCAGTTGCTCTCGAGGCTGTTACGATTCAGGGGCAAAAATCCAAGGAAAAAAGCTGATAAAAAAGAATGAAAGACTCTCTTGAAATCAGTAAACCCAAGTACTGCAGAACCTGCTATTCTCACGCATACCAAGCATATGCTTATCTGCATGTCTGGGGAAATTCATGAATACAGAATATTTTGTGATGGAACCTTTCCCTGGTTGCCATTACGCTGGTGTCAGGTGCATTTCAGAGGCTGGTGAAGAAGAACCATGGCTTGGATTGCTGTAAGGTACATAACCTGATTGGGGGATGGCTGCTTGAAGGGGCAGCCCAGTTAAAATCACATTGCTGTATCTGGATCAGGAGCAATGCTTTGTACAGACGAGGCTCAAGGCAGGGCTATGCAAAGTGAATTGGCTGCTCAGCTGTGCGTAACCCTCGGGATTCCCTCCAAGTGTGCTGAGCACAACGCAGCCCAGGGGCCGAAAGGCAGCGATGCTCAGAGCGCAGCACTGCTGCCAGCCCTCTGGGTGCAGCAAGGAGTGCCTTCATCAGCTGCTCCACAGCGAGTCCCTTCACTCCATTGTTGTGACCTTCAAATCAGTGGCAGCAAAACCCCGGTGCTGAGTCCTTCTCTTCAAAGGAAAAGCACAAAGACAACAGGCTGGCAGCAAGAAGGGGCGGCCAGGAGGGATGAGGGGAGTAAAACCAGCAGCACCTCCCATCAAATAGACCAAAGGAAAAGACAGCTGCTTAAAGCACAGCTGCAGTAACACGACCAGCTTCATCGGCCTGCTAGCACCTTGGCTGTAGATAAAACCAGCTAACAGAAGTGGCTTAACTGCTGCACCATCAGACTTTGAGCAGTTATTACAACAGGTTTCTCTTCCACGTAATGGATTACAAAAGGGAAGCAGAACTGCCACGTTCTTCTACAGCCTATGACAGTACTCAGCAGTGGGGCCACTAAGCAGAGATGCAATCTTCACTTTATGTACCTAATTCTCTGAAATATATTTAATATATCAAGAATTTCTAAGAACCTGCACGAGCCAGCTTTTTAAAATGAACTTATCACTACAGATAACTCCCTAGGGCCCTCAGTGCTCGGAACGGCTCACATTTTCCCCCCTAAAATAACCATATATTGCTAATGTAATATTGCATCCAAGAATATTCAATGCTCAAAACCTTCAGCTATGATTCTAACAGCAACGTATACAGAAAGAAATCATCTTTCTTTTCTTCCTCATAGCAGAAATCTAGCTTTTTTTTTTTTTTTTTTTTTGCTTTTTGAAGGGGGCAAAGACAGAGGAGGGAGCTATTTCTATGTTGTACTTGAACCATATGCTTTACAATTTGGAACCCCTGCAGCAGTGCAATTAAACACCCTAAAGCCAAACAAAAATGCTGTATGTTGCTAAATTTAAAAAAAAAAAAAAAAAAGGATATAAAACTGGCATTTAAGTAAATATTTGCTTGGAACTGAACCTGCTTGCTTTACTGACAAAGCAAGCACCTTCTTCCCCTTTGTGCACCTGTTAAAACACAAATGGGCAATGACAGTTGGGCAGAGTCTGTCACCAGAGTTCTACTACATCCCCATTACAGCCTCTTGCTGATGGGAACAAGCTGGTGGGAACTCAGCTTGCCTTCCAAATCTCAACTGCACAGCACATGGCTAGCACATGTAAGAACAGCTCTTGTTCGTACTGCGGATCTGATAGCAAAACCATTAGTAAGTAAACATGAAAACTGACCTACGTGTTTTAAAAGAAAAACTTGTTTGAAGTTGACATATTATATAAATGATGTCATCCAAGCCTGATTTTGCATAGGAGAGGCCCCTTGGCAGGAGATGCAGAGCAGTCTGGGCGCTGTGCTTTCACTGTGCCGAGCGTGATTGCTGCCTGACACACCAGGCACAGCACTTCCTTATCTGCACATTTCTGCAAAGATTCTTTTTCCTAAATCAGAGCTGTTAATTACAGAATTACAGAAATGGGAGCTGTGTTAGGGCCAGGACAGCTCAGGAATTCTGACCCATAGCCAAACGCAGGATGAATTTAACTAATCCAGTCCTGACAGAGGTTAACCTCACTTGTTCCCAAAAGCTTGCAATTACAGAAGCTATGCAGCTCTCAAAACAACATCAAGGATTTTGCTGCTGTATTCTAAATAAATTCTAAGCTTAACTTTCTGTCTGGTAATTTTAACTGTAACTTCTTGTCTTGCTTGCATTTAAACAGGAATATTTCATTTCCCCTCTGTCAGTTCACTTGTCAGGTACTTGCAGACTTCCAGTCCCAACAGGCTGTTCTTCTACCTCTGCCAAAATCGTTGACATAGAAACTGCACTACAGCTGTTCAAAATGTGCCCAGTCCTGGTTTTGAAAATAACTTCTCAGTTGTAGCCCAAGTTAATTCCACAAAACCATTTGTCTTCATACTTTGCAAGAGCAAAGCCCAAATATAAAACAGGGAACCTTGATCTGTTCCCTGCTCCAACTTACACCTGCAGCTGACGTTGTTATCATCATCCTTTTGGGCCACAGCAGGTAGATAAGTTTTTAGCACTGTGCATTTGCAGACCATGCAGGGGGGTTATGCTAGACAATCCTTTGCTCCCTTTTGTCTCCCTACTGGATGTGCAGGGTGGCTCAGGTCTTCTAATGTGTAGAACATCTCAGTCACGCTCCCTTTCCATGCTGCTGCTTGTCCTACTCCCTACCAAGAGCACAGGGATGCTTTTTCTTTCTTAGCCATGGATCCGAGTTCCCCTCAGCAGTCAGCAGCTGGCGGTGAGCCAGCCCGTGCTGCAGGGCCACCCAGAGACTTTGCTCCCCAACTGCTGGATCTGATGCCAAGAACAAAACTGCAGGAAAAAGCACGGTCACAGTCAGCATGCCTGTGTCTCCACAGCCGCGCCAGGGAGCTGCTGACTTTCCTTGTGTTCACGCAGGGGCAGCTGTGTCACAGCAATGCAAAATATATTTGTATAAATTAAAGTTCAATATGAATTACTACTAATCTCTGATATTACAGAAGAAAGACTGAGATGTTTGAGTAACTCACAGAACAACCACAAGCTACTCCCAGG